TCATAATTCAATGTTTTACTTTCCATTTTATGCAACTATGAAATACTTGCTTTTTTTTCCTTAAACATCTGTAGCAGAAGTTGTCAACAAAAGAAAATGTCTGTAAATAGGTCTTATCAAGTTAAATCATCTCCTTAAAACACTCTCCTCCCTCCACCCCCTCCTAAATTCCACTGAGTGCCAGTTCTTGTGCTTCATTTGATTGTTGTTGTTTGTCCTTTGTTCTCAAAGAGGACCATGACATCAGGGAGGTGATGCCATGACATGCAAGTGAATTGGATTTGAGTGAGGGAGGGCTGTGCCAGGTCACCAGCCTTATCTGATACATATCACATACTGGCTGAGATTTCTGTTATTGTGATGCTGATTCATAAAATGTTGCGACATGTAAATTCACACACACACACACACACACACACACACTTGTTCTAGTCCATTAAAAAAAAATGCGGTATTACTATATCCACCTAAGATTTTCCTAAGCAGTGATTTCTTTTTTTACTCTAACCTCAAACTAATGTGTCTGGGTGTGAGTTTTAGCCTTAAAAATATAACAAAATTTTATTTTTAAAATAATAACATAAAAACAGACAATATGACAAATAATAAACATGTGCTAAAAAAAAACTAAAAATATAGTACCAAGCTCTCCTTAATATAAGTATACACTTAAATTCATGAGCTAATATTGTATACAACAGAAATATTAAACATAATCCCATTAAAAATAAGAATCAAGGGCTATCTATTTTCATCCCTCCTGTATAACAAAGCCTTAGAAATGTTAGCCACAATAAGGCATGAAAAAAAAAGAAAGAAAAGAAATGAAAATATCTTTATTTGCAAGTGACATGATTACATACCTAGAAAACTAAAAACCTTCAACAAAGAAACTCTAAAATAAAAATTACTTTAGCCAAAAATCATTTGCATTTCTATATACCACCACCACCAACAACAAAAAAAGAGAAACTGTAGAGAAATACCATTTATTATAATGACAAAAATATACCAAATATTTTGGCACTAACCTAACATATAAAAAAGAGACATACAAGGACAACTTCAAAATGATTTTGACAGAAAGCAGAGAACTGAGTACAGCAAACAGAGTTTAAAAATAATTTCCAAATCAAATTATACATTCAATACAATTAATCAAAATACCAATAGTTACTATTTTGATAGCGGATTGATCAATAGAATTTACTTCATAAAACTCAATGATATAACACAAAATAATATCAAGAACTATGCAAAATAAAATGAGTGAAGGGCTAGTATATTTTAAAATATATGTATTATATAAGGCAGCGTGGCATAATGAATAGAGCTAATCTTAGGAAGACGTGGGTTCAAGTTCCACTTCTGACCCATACTGGCTGTGTGACCCTCAGGTAAGTCACTTAACTTTTATAGTACCCCAGGCAACTCTAAGATTTGTTGTTGTTTTTTCATTCATGTCATATTTCGTGACCCCACTTGAGGTTTTCTTGGCAAAGATACTGGAGTGGTTTGCCATTTCCTTCTCCAGCTCATTTTACAGATGAGAAACTGAGGCAAACAGAGTTAAGTGACTTGCCCAGAGTCACACAGCTATTGTCTGAGGCCAGATTTGAACTCAGGTAGATGAGTCTTCCTGACTCCAGGCCTGGAACTCAATGCCACCTAGCTGCCCCAATGAAATTACAGGTTTAGTTTAAAAAACAAAAACAAAACAAAACCCTCCAGTATTTATAAAAACTGGGAAAGAATGTGCTCTTGGGTGGGCGCGCGCGCACACACACACACACACACACACACACACACACAAATGGAATGGAAGAGAACACAACAATGCAATCCAATATAGAAGAGTTAGTGTGTGAGAAACCTAAAAAACAACAGTGGGGAACGGAAGTATCATTCAATAAAAACTGTAGGGAAAACTGGACGAATGGTGGAAAATGAGTTTTAGATCCATGCCTCACATCTCAAATCCAATTAAAAGTTTATGGTAGTATAATCAGTGTTGAGCACTGAAAAGAAGTTTCTAGATATAGATGATGACAGAAGAGCATGTTTATCAGATCTGCAGATATCACAAAGCTAGGAGGGATTAAGTCTTTGGATAACATAATTGGGATCCAAATAAAATCTTGAAGAGTGTGAGAGAGAGAGTGTGTGTGTGTGTGTGTGTGTGTGTGTGTAAAATGTACAAGGATAGGATGAGAAGACCTAAAAGCAGTTCAAGTGCAAAGAGTAGGAATTTTAGTAGACTTTTGAGACTTCAGTAGTCAACAATGCATTGCTTTCTAAAACAATGGTGATATTAAACTTCATTTAGTGTTATCCCAGCTGATAGTAATAACTTTCCTTCCTTTGAAATATCACAACCAGTCAAGTTAAACATTGATTAAATGCTTACTGTTTGCCCAGCATTGTGCTAAGTAAACTCAAGGGATACAAAGGAAGGCAAAAACGAAGCCTTCCCTTAGGGAGCTCACATTCTAATGCGGGAGACAACATGCAAACTATGTTCTTAGGAGATGTATTTACAATAAATGGAAGGTAACCTCAGAAAACAGTAGCATTGAGTAGGGACCTGGAAAGACTTTTCTCAGAAGGTAGGATGTTAGCTGAGACTTGAGGGAAGCCAGGAAAACCAGGAGATGAGGACGAGGAGGAAGAGCGTTCCAGACAGAGGACAACCAGTGAGACTTCTGAATTGGAAGCTGGAGTGTCTTGCGCAAAGAACAGCAATCAGTCCAGTGTTGCTGAATTGTAGAGTAGAGAGGGTGAGGTGCAAGACTGCAATGATAGCAAGGAGCTAGGCTGTGAGGGGCTTTAAAAAGCTGAGATGGTTTTATATCTGATCCTGAAAAGTAATAGGAAGCCACTAGAGTTTATTGAATAGGAGGGTGACATGGTCACAGAGCTGTGTTTGAAGTAGGAGTTGAATCTAGATCTCCATGATTTACTAATTATTTTTCCTTGCTCTTACACCATAGAAACCTTTTCAATCTAGAAACTCACTTTGTCCCTGGACTTCACACAATGGAAGTACCCTCCACCTCATGGTCTTTCCCTGTGATTATGGTTTCTCTCAGAATCTCCATTTTAAGAAGGATGGCCAGGACAGCCCTACCTTCATTCCTCTCCAGATTCTCTGGATTTTCTTTACCATGCTGGGTACCTTAATCTCTTGCCCCACAATCCCATACATTACTTTTACATGTTGAATATCACTTCCTTGAGGGTAGGGACTGCTTTTCTTTCTGCTAGTATTGGTATTTCTAGGACCAGGCCAGTGCCTGGCACTTAGTTAAGTGCTGAATAACTGTTGACTGAATGACTAAACATGCTGCTATATATGTATAAACACAGGTCAAATTCTACCGTACTGGATTTGCTGTAATAAGAAATCAGCACGAGTTCTTTTAACCATTATCTGCTCTCAGTTCCACCTCCAATTAGACAGCATGCGATGGGTGGGAGTCACTATTTAAACCTGGGTTTGAGGGATCTAAGGGCTAAGGGTTTATTTTCTTTGTATTTAGAAGGTTAGAGAAACATTGCAAATATTAGCAACAACTAACAATGCAAACTTAAGATTGTACCACAACACATTGTAGGTTTACTATGTTCTGAATAATGACATTTAAACACATTTCAATGAATTTAAGAGTTCACTGAAACATCAACTTCTTCTATAAAATTTTTACTGATAAATGGGGCCATGCCCCAGGTAACTAAGATTTAGTTACCTATGAATTGCCAGCCTACATAAGTGGGGGAGCTGCCACAGTGGGAATTCCTTGTATTAATAAAATCACACATCTGGGCTGATTTTGATAAATTTTCCTAAATTTGTAAAGGAGAAATTAACTAACTTGATTGTTTTTTAACTTTGAAGGGGACATAAATTCAAATGTATGAGAACTGAGTGGGGCAAAGGAACGGTGAGTTAATATGTGGTAATGACTGGCTTATCTTTCAAACACCTTTGTCCTATTGACTCCACTTAATTCATACAGCTCTTTAAGAAATGTAAGTTCCAAGCTCACTTTTTATCACTACTGACAGAGAATAAGCACTCAGTAAATGCATTTAAATTCATTAGATACAAATCCATTTTATAATCCCAGGATACACAGTATCCAATTATTTTTATGATGCTACAAGTATAAGCAACTAAGTACAATATTACAGTCTTAACAGCTGCTAAGACAAGTGTTTAAATTTTAAAATCTAGGACCCCATACTCATACATTATGAGCTTAGTTAAAATACATTTTTGTTGCCATTTTTTTCCTGATTATAAAGGTCTTGTTACAGTGTGTTCTTTCTAGACCACCCACTTCAGGATCCTACTGCATTCACGCCCATCAGAGGAATAATTTAGTTAAGACTTGCTTTCCTTCCTTTGCCATTTATATGTTTTATTTTCCCCCTAGTAACAAAAACAAGCGTTCAAGTGTTTTGCTACTCATAGTACACACTGTTTATGGAAAAATGGCTGGGTATTTCATAGAGAAAAGCTATAAGAAGAAAAACATGCCTGAAGTTTTAAACCTTTCTATAATGTTAATATTCTTCTGAAAACTGTTATCCTTTGATATGTTAAATGAAGACATTTAAAAGGATAACAATTATTAAAATTCAGTGTACTGTTAACTAAGTCATGATGTGGATCAATCAGTGGCCCTAAAACACTGACATTCAATTTTTTTTTAATTAAAATTTAAACTGAAATACTGGGGAAAACACTAGAGATAGTCACCATGGAACAGGTATTTTCCCCCCACAGTGAAGTCCAAATTTCCTGCACATCAAGGTAATTTGTGACATTTTCTAATTACTTCCCCAAAACTCCATTGAAAAAACTATTGCAGGGGTAGCTAAGTGTTGCAGTGGATAAAGTACCAGCTCTGGAGTCAGGAGGACCTGAGTTCAAATCCAGCCTCAGATACTTAACACTTACTAGCTGTGTGACCCTGAGCAAGCCACTTAACCCTGATTGCTTCACCAATAAAAAAAAAAAAAAGGAAGAAACTATTGCATCTTTTCTTTTTTAAATGTGCTTTTAAAATACATCATCCCACTCTTTGTAAGGAAATACTTAACCTATCAAAAACAGATGAACTTAGAGGGATCATGCTAAGAAGTAACTGTATTGGAAGATTTCACTCTCATAAAGAAGGAACTGGCTATTCCTGAAATGTGGAATCTTCTATTTACCTGGTAAGTGGGTCAAACAGAGCTCCACATTTTAAAAAATTATCACTTGATAAATGTTCTTGCCTTACAAGAGGAAATAAACCCTCAATTTATATCCTTGACTCATCTTGGGAACAAAACTAATGTACTGTTGTTTAATACAGTGACATAACCATATTTAAGAGATTTTACCAATAAAAAAATCATTGTGGTCATTAATTTATGAGGTACTCAAAGGGCAGAAGAAAGTTCCCACAAGGCACAGTATTAGTTCATGCCCAAATACCTATAAGTTCATTACTGGCATCATTAAGGGGCTGCATATTTATCCCCAAAACATACAATGGTTTTCTCTATGGTAGTTACTACTTGAGAGTATGATTTTTATCAAAGAAAGATAATCTGTATGACTCCTTTGCTGAAATACTATGAAACTTAATTCCAAAGAAGATTCATCAGACATTCTCTTCTGCAAACTAATTTTGCTTACTCACTTAAAGCCAGTTTAAGCTGATGAACCAAAACTTTAAGGCTGTCTTCATTTAACACACTGAAAGATAATTTTTCAGAAGAATATTAACATTATAGAAATGTTTAAAACTAAAACTTCAGGGTATGTTTTTTCTCCTCATAGCTTGAATCTGCATCTTACCCTAGAAGGGGTGGGGAGGGAAACAAGCACCACCTTATGTGTGAGAGGCACTTAAGTATTTGCTGGAATGGACTCAGTTAGGATTTGTACCCTGTGATCGAGACTTTTTTTTAAAGGTGTGTTACCAGATGCCTAGAGGAAGATCATAGGATTTAGGACCAGAAGGAATCCTAGAGGTCTTATGGGCCAATCCCATCATTTTAAGAGGTGAATGTTCAGTCCCAGAATGGTCTAGTGACTTGGTCTGCATATACAGCAGTAGTAGGCAGGACAGATGAGATACAAACCCAACTCTATATCTTGTGCTTGTCCCATAACATCATCCTCATCTGAAGAGATTCCTAGGAATGTAAAGTAGACAAAAAATTGTGAAAAAATGTTTAGTGGAGATGAAGTCCTTAGGAATAAGCATGGATGACATGCCCCACAGAAAAGAGGTAGAAAACAGATCCCTCAAATCGTTCTTGCTGATTTTGAAGACTCACGTACTTAGTCTAAACAAGTAAGGAAACATCAGATCACATCGAACACTAGGTTGAGTCTGTATTTAGCCAGGCTCTTTGGATGCACTGGTTTTCCAAAAATGCCTTGCATTAACCTAAGCTCCTGTGATGCATTAGCCCTATCAGAAAATGATTTCATTTAGTGGGAGGCATTTTCCTCCCAGCATGTGCTTCCAGAAGTCCTGATCAAGATACAACCTCCTGAGAATCCCTCCCCCCAAAAAGAGTGCTGCTGCTGCTTTTTCAAAATGCTAGAGGTCCCACTATTATAGGTTCTGCAGAGGTAGACAGAAAAGCAAGGCACAAGAAAAAGAACTAGTTCTGGGCAACTCTGGTGATCCCAAAGCCTTTCAGCTCTTTGGTAGGAAGCAAAAGGATAGATATATGTAAAAGCAACTGTTGTACAAACTCCCTCCCACCATGCTCTTCCACATTACTACAAAGACGGCGGTTCTGCTATAAATTCCAAGTTCATTACCCATAAGGTCCATGAGCTGACGAGACCTCACAGGTCATCTAGTTCAACCCCCTCACTTTGCAAATGAGTAAACTGAGGCTCACAGAGGTTGTGACTTGTCCAAGTTCACACAGGTTGGCAGTGGTGGGACTGGAACTCAGATTTCTTGATGCCTGTCGGTTCTTTCTACTATACAACACTGTCCCTTTTGGTATTTTTTTTTAATCCCCCGGTGTAGCACCCTTGTTTCCAAAAGGGGAAAAGTCCAAATACAGTTAAGCATTTAAACCATAAAACTACTTCATAAGTAGATCCCAAATGTCTTTATACTCTAGTCTGCACCAAATGGGTATAATTATTTTCCCCAAATTCTAGCTAATTACAAGCCCTGATATACCTGTATGCCTCTCCCCTAACACACATGAGAATCTCACTGACTTTATATGGTAACAGGAAATAATGTACACAGGAGAGAAAAACCTGGTGCCTTGATTTTCTCCCCCCTCCCATCTACCTTGATTTTCCCCAGAAATCAGTCAGTACAAGTGCTTAAACCATTGGAAGCACTCAATACTTTCTGTTTTTGCAAGTCTAAGGCAAAACATAATGCTTGGTGTATGCTGTAGAAGAGAAGCGTTTCCTCTTCCTTTGTGCAGTACTCTCCCCGATACAGAGAGCTCCTCACAGAGGGATTGCATTGAGCTAACAGAATCTGGATACCAATGTCTGCATAATCTTTGCGAACTTCTTTGAGTGTCTGGATTCCTGCTGTATCTAAAAATTGCAAGGCACTGCAGTCAATCACTATGGTATGGAGCTCTAGGGGCTCACAAGAGAGGTTCATGGAAACTTCATCTTGACAGCCACTGAAAGTCACCATTTTCTCTTTGAGCTTTCTCTTTGCTGCCTTCTTCCGTGCTGCTTTCACTAACACTGGGCTGACAGTCTTCTTGTACAAGGCAGATTTAAAAGATTCTTTGTTGATGTAATAGAGGGGAGCTACAAAACGGAAAATCTTAATTCCTGGTTCAGTCTGAAGGTTCTTGTAGGCACACATGGACTCATAGATTTCAGACTCTTCCACGTTACCAAGTATAGGAGCTTCTGGTTTCTGAGTACGAAGGATGACACAAAACATAGAAAAGCAGACCCCAATAAGCAGACCAATTTCAGTACTTATCAGTGCAGAGGACAGCATAGTAATGAACCAAATAACTGTATCCATTTTACTAAGCCTCCACATCTTGGGCAAATCACCAAACTTTCGAAGAGCTCCCCGAAGATTTACAATGGTTATCACTCCAAGGACACATTTTTGTAGGGAGTAGAATAAAGGTGCTATTACAAGGAGGACCAATAAAAGAACCAGTGCTGTCACCACACTAGAAACTTGAGTCTGACAGCCTGTCGACTCTTTGACTAAGGTCTTGGCAAGAGCTGCACTAGTTGTGAAGCAGTGAAAGAAGGCAGGGATGATATTACAAAAACCAATGGCATACATTTCCTGATTGGCCTTGACTATGTAGCCGTGCTTCTTGGCAAACATCTCTGACAGTGACACAGTGATAGCAAAACCAATGATAGAAATAGCTATCGCATCAATTGCCACGTTAGGAATCAAGTTCCAATCTGGTGCTTTAGGAGGCAGGAACCCAGTAGGAATGTGTCCAGATATACTAGAGCCATAATTCTCATTCAATTTTCCAAAATGAGATGCCAGTGTAGCTGCTACAACTACTATCAGTTCGGTGGGAATTGGTGCCTTAAGCTTGGATTTGAAGTGTTCGTTGAGTTCTTTGGTTGGCACAAGGACAAGAAGGCACAGAAGGCTAGTAATGAGGTCACAGAGATTGGTCTTATGAATGTTTTTGAAGATATTTATCCAGGTAGCGATGAGAGAGCCCACACCACTACTTCGAGGGATTTTTAGTCCTAGAAGATACTTGGCCTGAGAAGTAAGGATGGTAAAGGAGGTACCAGTGACAAATCCACTCAGCAAGGCATCAGACAGGTAGATGGAGACAAAGCCCACTTGAAACAGGCCCATCGCTATCTGAAAGGAATCACATAAGAGGTTAGACATGTGCAGACCTTTCTCAAATGGAAAGGAATGCTTGTAAATCTTATAATTCTGCCTTTCTTTTCTGTCATTTGTCTTAGATATCCTTCTTCAGTACTTAAGGAGTTGTGATTTTGTTGGTATGGGTACTTCCTCCACCAACACAGATTGCAACTTAGTAAATTGTCCTTGAAAGTTAAGGCCAAAAAAAGAAAACGAAAGGAAAAAAATCAACTGTTGTTTATCTGCTAATGAATTTTTCTGAACTTAAGCTGGTCTCCCAAAGACAGACAATAGGCCATTGCAGGACCCAGACTAGAAACTTTTCTAGCTTTGGTATGACCTGGCAGCGTATGTAATTCTTGTGCTGGAATAGTTTATAAAACACAGGATCAACTGTATGCCACAACAGGGCATCTCCACAGGATTTAAATAGAAGTCCTACTAATTTTCAAAATTAATTGGACTTTGTCACCTCTGAGGTTTTCCTATCTTTATTCTTTCTCTTTCTTCCTTATCCTTTCTCTTCACAGAGATAACCCTATTGAGATAGATATCAAGGGAAGGCAGAAACAGACCCCAGGACTTGCCATCCTCCCCCTACTTTGGTTCTTCCCCAGCACCAAACAAAACAAGTTACTTATATCACTGTTAACTATCACCCTTTATAACTCAATTTATATAACTTATTTTTAAGCTTCCTAAGTGTTTTGCTCATATTTTATGAGGAGATGGTACAAGTATTACTACTCCTATTTTATAGATAAGGAAACTGAGGCTCAAAGAATAGAAAAGGCTTGATCACAATCACAGGGAAATGGGGGGGGAGGGGGAGGAGGGAATAAGAATTTACATAGTGTCTACTATGTGCCAGGCACTGTGCTAAGTGCTTTATAAATATTATCTCACTTGATCCTCACAATAATCCTGTGAAGTGGGTGCTGTTATTTTACAGTTGAGGAAACTGAAGAAGACAGAAATTAAGTGACTTGCCCAAGATTACACAACTAGTAAGTGTCTGAGCCAGATTTGAACTCAGGTCTTCTGGTTCCAGGTCTAGTGCTCTATCCACTAAGCCACCTAGCTGAGCTAGGAGAGCTAGTAAAAGTAGTAAAGCTAGAACTCAAACTAGGTCTTTTCAATTCTAAATCTACTGTCCATTTCACTATGCTGTCTCTCTAGCCCCTGACATCTCCAGATACTTGAGAGAAAATCAAGATTTAGAGAATTCCTGATATAAACTAGCAAGGCCATTATGATAATTAGGGGAATCCAGGAGACTCTAAGAAGTCACCAAGAAAAAAGTTCCCTTGTGGGGCTTACTGCCCTGGAGTCAGGAGGACCTAAGTTCAAATCCGACCACAGACACTTACTAGCTGTGTGACCCTGGGCAAGTCACTTAACCCCAATTGCCTTCCCCTTCCCACAAAAAAAAAAAATTCCCCTTCTAAATCCCAGATGGGTTCTTTGCCAGATGTCATCTACAAAGGTTAATCTACATTAATATAAATGTCAGTTTAAAATCAAATTTTGAATTGAAATTAACTTTGTAAAATTACAAAATCACCTTAAGTTAAAACTTAAAACCATCTTTGTTCATGTTGTACTAATCAAGTATTGTTAACAAAAGAGAATCAGTGATTTTCAAAGGTATTGAAAGAGGATCTTGTTGGAAAATTATAATTATGCCTAACACATATACAATAAAGTAATATCATGTGGCCTAAAAAAACTCCGTTTTAGTCTTTACATAATTAAAAGGGAATCATATGAAAGAGACATTTGAAGTATTCTGTTTGGCGTTAGAGGACAAAGTGAGGACCAACAGAAACACAGTTTGTTACAATAGAAAGAAAAGTTCAAAAGCAGAATGGGCTATCTTAGGAAACGGTGAATTCTCGGTCACTAGAGCTCTCTCCAAAGTTTGGACAACCACTTATAAGGGATTGTGCCGAGAGGATTCAAGTTTCTGGTAAGAATTAGGCTAAATGATCCCTGATATCCCTTAAAAGGGTAAGATTTTATGATCCCATGAAGTGGAATTAACTGAGTTTTATGAGATCTTAGAATTTAAAGCTGGAAGAGACCTAAAAATATATATATAGTCCAATTGCCTCATTTTCCAAATGAGGAAAAGTGAGGAGTAGAGAGGGAAAGTAACATGCCTAAGGTCAGATAAATTGCAGAGATGTGATCTAAACTCTGTAGTGCTAAATCATATTCTAAATCAAGTGATTTTTCTCGCTATGTCACCTATGACATGTACTTTAAAAATGTGGTTTCAACGGGGGGTGGGGGGGGTGGGGGGGTGGAGGTGCGAGGAAATCCAAGAAGTGTGGTAACTGCTACTTTAGTGGATATGTGATTTTGTTGGTGTTGGTCCTCTCTTCAGTAGTACAAAAGTACTAACCTCTCACACCTTTCACATGCAATTCTTGTCCATGTTTTCCCATAAATCCACCATACTGAATTTACCCAACATGTTGGAGGCCATCTTCTTGTTCTTTCAATATCTCAGGGATATCACTGCACCATTTGAGCTTACCATCTGTCATTCTCAACATGAGATTGACCCACCACCTTTTCCAGTCTATACACTTAATAGGGTTTTTTGTGCACCAAAGTCATCAGTGGTAATATGACTATTTACAAACCCACTAAAACTTTCCACTTCAGGAACAATGATTTTTCCTATTTCCAGAGCATTTGATACATCAGCACCTCCTCAAGATGATCAATTAGAGATCACAAGACAATGTGAGATAACAATGAACAATAAGTTAAATTCTGGCAAATACAAACTCATAAAGCAAAGGATTATTTTTTTAAATGACAGCAGCTTACATTTGTATAATGCTCTACAATTATAAGGAGTTTTCTAGACATAATGACTCACAGTAAATTATTATTTTTGCCAAGAGCCTGTTTGTTCTACCATTTCTTACCTGATAAACTCCAGCTATGAAAGTTACTGTTGTGCCAACAGTAATTGCGTAGCAGCTTCTATCACAGATTTGTCCTGAGGTTTGGTTCACAGCTGGAGTGATGACACTTTCATTTATGTGATTAAAAAGGTCAGGTTGAGCTGTATATTCCATCCCATAGCCAGCTTTGTGTACCTCCCGTTCCACCACTTCACCAATCATGAGGCACAACACTCCAAAAATACCCACTGAGATGTGTCTGGATGTGCCAAATAAGAAATAAATTATTGCAGCAAAAAAAGAAGTATACAGACCATATACAGGCTCTTGGCCTGCCAGAAGGGAATATGCAATGGACTGTGGGACTAATAAGATGCCTACAATCAAACCAGACATTATATCTCCAAGGAGGCATTTTTTCAGGTCATACTTAGGGAGCCATTGCAAGACTGGCATGAACCCAAAAATCCAGTTTTTGGCTTTGGCTGGGCTACAGCAGCAATTCTTCTTCAACTGTTTGATCACATATCCTTTAAAGTCAGTATTCTTTTTCTCCTGAGGCTCCAGAAGGATTCTACAGTAATGACGGTCATCACCTTTAGCAAGGTCACTGGATGAACTGACATACTGATCTTCTTCTTTGTCTGACATTTCTAGAGATGAGTCCTTCAGATTCCTAATATAAAAGGAATAATAATATTAACCAAGAAAGCATTTATGCACAATTAAGCATTTCAATTCAATTCGACAGATCTTTACTAAGCACTTACTATGTGCAAAGCATGAGCTAGGTATTGGCCTACAGAGACAAAAGCAAGACAGCCTCTGCAGTCAGGGAGCTTACAGTCTACTGGGGAGACAGAACACACACACAAATAAAGTATACACAAAAAAGAACTCTGAACAATACCATGACCAACAATAATTCCAAAAGATTGACGATGAATGTCTCTCAAATGTCCGTAGGTGTAGAACAGAGCATAAATCTCCAGACAGGACCACAACCTAAATTTGTTTTGTTTAACTATGCTTTTCTTACAAGAGAGAGCTTTTATTCAGCAGTATGGTAGTGATACTGATTGGAAAAAGGGGAAGAAAGGAAAAAAGACACCAATAAACATTTTTAAAATGTACAGGAAAGAGAATGGGGTTCAAAGAGGGACACAGATTAATAGGATATACTGGATATGGAATAACAAGTTATTGCTGTATAAAATTTAATGTATGTTAAAATATTAAAGCTGTATGTAATGAATTTGTGGTTTTATGTACAAGTTGCATTTTCTGGCCTTATTTAGTGTGGAATGTTCATGTTTGTGTCCATACCCTTTTACCCAGCAATACCACTACTAGATATGTACCCCAAAGAAATCAAAGAAAGAGGAAAAGGGTTGATATGTATGAAAATGTTTATAGCAGCTCTTTTAGTAGTGGCAAAGAACTTTAAACTGAGGGGTGCTTCTCAACTGGGGAATTGCTAAGAAACAATTATGGTTTATGAAAGTAATGAAATATGATTATGCTATTGGAAATGAAGTGGCTAGTTTCACTAACACCTAGGAAGACTCATTTGAACTGATACAGAGTGAAATAAGCAGAACTAGTAGAACAATTTATACAATAACAATAATATTATAAAGGTAAACAACTTTTAATGATGTAAGAACTCTGATCAATGCAATGAACAACCACAATTCCAGAGGGATCATGATGAAAAGTGATACCCACCTCTAGACAGTCAGTCACTGTCAATAAACATTTATTAAGTGTTAAGTGCCTGCTATATGCCAGGCACTGTGCTGATACACAGAAAGACAAAAGACTATCTGGACAGTCCCTGTCCAAATTCACAATGTAATGGGGGACACAGCATGCAAACAGCTATACACAAACAAGCTACTTCAGGATAAATAGGAATAATCAGTACAGGAAGGGTACTAGAATTAAAAGGGATTGGGGAAAAGCTTCTTATGGAAGATGAGATATTAGCTAGACTTAGCCAGGGAAGCCAGGAGGTGGAAATGGGAAGGGAAAGCATTCCATACATGAGGGACAGCTAGTAAAAATGCCCAGAGTTGGGAGATGGAACCAACGTCTTGTTCAAGGAACATTAGAGAGACCAGGGTCCTTGGATCAAGGAGTAAGCTGTAGTGGGGTGGAAGGTATAAGGAGACTGGAAAGCTGAAGGGAGGGGCACTAGGTTATAAACGGCTTTGAATACCAAAGGATTTTATACTTGATCTTGGAGGTGATAGGAAGCCACTGGAGTTTTTTTGAGTAGAGGAATGACATGGTTGAACCTGAGTTTTAGGAAAAGAGAGGGTTAGCGATCAGGGCACAGATTGAAACATATTTTTGGGATATGTCCAATGTAGGAATGTGTTTTGTCTGACTATGCATACTTGTATCAAGGGTTTTGTCTTTCTTTTTCAGGGGGTGGGGAGGAGGTAGAAGAGAGAACAGGTATATTTTTGTTAATAAAAAATAAATTAATTTATTTAAAAAAAAGAAATATTTGTTGATGATTTTCTGGTACACACACACACACACACACACACACACACACAGAGACTGGGAGGTAGAAGGGAATGTTAATAACCAGAGAGGTCTTTTATAAGAGGTGGCATTGGGGCAGCTAGGTAGGGAAGTGGATAGAGCAACAGCCCTGAAGTCAGGAGGATCTGAGTTCAAATCTGACCTCAGACCAAACACTTGACCCTTACTAGCTGTGTGACCACGGGCTTAACTCCAATTGCCTAAAAATAAAAAAAATTTAAAAATAAATAAATAAAAATAAAAATATAAGAAGAGCTTTGAAGGAAGATGTCACAAAAAGTTGGACATGACTGAAATGTAACAACAAGGATTTTGAGAGATGGAGGTGAGGAGGGAGAGCATTTCCAAGCATGGAATTTACCCATGCAAAAGCAAGGACAGGGAAAGATGGAATATTGTATACAAAGAACAGTAAATAGGCCAGTTCAGTAGGAATAATACCAAATCAATCTGAAAAGATAAGACTGGGGCCAGATTATAAATGAATGAAAATACATTTATTAAGTACTTACTATGTATTAAGAACTGTTCTAAGCAGTAAGAATATCAATAGAAAAAACAGGAGAGTCCTCTTCTCAAGGTGCTCACACTCTAATTGGAAGAAACAACACATAAAAGAGAGTTCAGTTGCTGGGCAGACAGAAATGTCCAAAAGTTCTAAGGGTATATCAGAGGGCTGATTGATGGGCAAGGCCTAAGGACCTTTAGATCACACAGTTAAGTCAAATTAGTACTAGATGACTGCAGGGAATAGAGGCAGGGCAGATGGTAAGGAAAATTGTGGACTATTCCTAACTGTTCCTGGTGAAAATGGTTCTTCCTGCTAGAAGAGTTCTAGGATGGCCCTGGGCCAAGGGAAGGGACAAAGAAGTTTCCCCTAGTGGTGGCAGGTCTTCCCAGCCCCTGACTGACTAAAATGCCAGAGTTGGATTCATGTTTTGTTCTAGAGGCAATAAACTCTAGAATAGCCCCTATTAGAACTTTTTTAGTGGGGAAGTGGCATGGTCAGTGCCATGCTTTAGAAATACTGATTTGGCAGCTATGTGGAAAATAAATTGAAGAGGGGAAAAACCGGAAGCTGGGAGGCCAATTAGGAGACTATTTCAATAGTCAAGGTGAGGGTGGTGGCTGTGTTGAGTGAAGAGAGGGGAAGATGTAAGAGATGTTATGAAGGTAAAATTAACAAGCTTGGCAATTGATGGAATGGAGGAGGGGAGAATTTCTCATCATTATTCTCATCAAGGCTATAAAGAAACTGGGTGAATTTTATAGAAAATAACCCTATTTTTCCTGGTCATTATAAGAAACCAGAACTGGCCCTTTCCCTTGGCTCAGGACTGTCCCAGAACCCATTCAACAGGAAGATCCACTGTCCCCAGGAGTGTCCTTACCCCTATATGTTCCCTTCTCACCTCCCTCCCCTCACAGAATCCAAGAAGGGTGCCTTCCCTTCTCTCTCCAGCCCCCAAACCATGGACCTTGGCATGCCTTAGATGAGATGGGAGTCAACTTTAACCCTTAATGGTATTACAGAGGTCCACCAGCCCTTACCTGCTACTGTAGCACCCCCCCCCCCCTTTAAAATAAAGTTTTATTAATACCTTGTTTTTCCCTGGCTAAAACTTCTCCCAGTATCTCTCCCCTCTCTGTCCCCTCCCCAGAAAGCCATCCTATACAAAAAGTATTTTTTTAAAGACAACAAAATAAAATCAGCAAAACTGAAAAGTACTATCAAAAACATCTGAAAACATATGTAGAAAAGCCCACTCATGGACCTACCACCTCTGCAAAACAACAGAGTGGCAGTGTCTTCTCATATCTCTTTTTTGAGACCGTTCTTTTTGATTTTCCAATACTCACTTTGGATTATTTTGTGGTTGTTTTGTTTTTCTTTTTCCATTTATGTACATAGTCACATACTGTTTCCTTAGCTCTGCTTACTTCACTCTGCTTCAATTCATACAGGTCTTTTCATGCTTCTTTTATTCACCATATTCATCATTTCTTACAGCACAGTAATATTCCATTACATTTATGTATTACAATTTGGTTAGCCATTCTCCAGCATCTACTTTATTTCTAATGCTTTGCCATCACAAAAAGTGCTGCTTTAAATATTTTGGTATATATGGAGGTTTTCTTATTAGTGACCTCCTTAGGCTACAAACCTAATAATGAATGCCTGATTCAAAAGGTATGAACATTTTAGTCACTTAATTTGCATAATTCCAGATTGCTTTCCAAAATGGTTGTACAGATGCACAACTCCACTAACAATGTATTAGTGTATCTATCTACCCCCAAGGCCTCCAACATGACTAGTCCTATCCTGTTGCTTCAAATCTAAGATTTGCTGAAATGAGTTTGGATTGGGGGATGTTTAGGAGGGGAAGCTAACCTATCTATGGGTGGGAACTTTGATATAAAGCAGGGCTATTCCACATTGGGATGAGGGGAGCAGAGAAGGCTATGGATACCCAAAGAAAATATAAGGGCAGAGGACAGGGGACAGGGATGGGGGGCCAGTAAGCAGGAAGGCACCAAAGACACCTTGTTCTACTTGGCAGTTTGCTTTGGACTCCACTGGGTGTGCCACTGGCAAATCATCTGCCAGTAAGTACTTAAAAAATACTTGTTGACTAACTTACTGAAGCAACCTTATGGGAGTCACCCTGACCTCCCTTTCGAGGGTTCAGGAGTTCCCAAATTGCAGCCTTCCAGCAGCTCTAATCTGATCTTCACTAGACAGAAAAGAAGCTCCCTAGTCTGTCTACTGCAGAGCAACCACCCTAATAACTATAGGGTCAAAGGGACTTTTCCCCAGTCTTACGTCAAGCCCAGGTAAACTGGAAATAAAAAATAAAATAAATGAAAGTAGCAGAGTTAAGTACAAAGTACACATTCGCAATAATCTCAGGGCCCTATGTGTTCTCTTCTGTGTAGCTTCTGTGTACCTTTGGTGTTTCTCTTCCTCTTTTTACAACCCTCTTGGACCTGAATCTGATAGATTCATCTTAGGTCCCTGGAACTACCTGGCTGCTTACTCTTCTCCCAGGCAATTCTCCTTCCCTTCCACCACTCTTCTCCTCTTAGTCCTACAATGATTTTCTAAAATTTGATCTCCCTGTTTATACAAGGTGGGTCTCCTACCTATCCAGGGCCAGGCTGGCAGGCAGGCAAGTCAACATAAATAGATCATTAGCATCCAGGCACTAAAACAAAGTCTTTTAAATTTACTTCCTGACAAGCATCCGGGCTCTCTCGTGAACTGATCAGTTATATTGCCACAGGCACAGTCATTTAATAATAGGAGGCACAGGATATGATAGAGGAAGCACAGGACTGGGGTTAGGGAGTGGGAACACGAAAAACCCTACCACTAACTGGCCATGTGACCTTGGGCCACGGTTTCCTTATCTATAAAACAGAGGGGGAGGGAGAGAACAAGAATTATTTCTTGCTCTGAGATTCTGTGATTATATCACACCGAGTCCCATGTGAAGGCACCAAAGGCCAGGCCTCTCCCAGCCTCCTGAAAGACGAGTGATGCTGTTCTTCTGAAGTCTTTTCCAGCTCTGGAGCTAGGACTCTGTGATCCTTCATAACACAAGAGTCTTCATATCCCGGGGAGTAGAAAAGGACCCCAAGGGAGGCCCTGAGTTGACAAGAGGCTACAAGAAGTTCCCTCTCCTGAAAAATAATTCCATAGCACATTCCTTTGTCTTCTTTTAACATGAGTAGCACGACATAGGAGATGGAATGGTGGACTTAGGATCAGGAGACATAGTTTCTAATCCTATTTCAAACACAGCTGTGTCCATGGGCAAGTCACAAAACCTCTCAAAACCTCAGTCTCATCATTTGCAAAAGTATTCTCATAATGCTTATATTACCTACCTTACATGACTGTTGTGAAGAAAACACACAGTCAACTTATACACAAACACGAGTTTTAAAATCCAATTACTTTCAGTAAGGAACAACTCTAACACACTCATGTGCGTCTTAATATGAATTTGTTATCCAACAATCTTGTTGCTTCAAACAGGAGATTTGCTGAAATTTTGATTGAGGGGTGGATGGAAGGGGAAGCTAACCTACGGGGGTGGGAAGTTTGAGGTACAGCAAGGCTGAATAGGACTCCGCTGGGATGAGGAGAGTTGAGAAGGCTCTGGATACCCAAAAGGAAATACAAGGGCAGAGGGCAGGGACACGGGAGGGCTAGTAAGTAGGAAGGCACCAAAGACACCTTGTTCTACTTGGCAGTTTGCTTTGGATACTGGTGGGTGTGCTACTAGCAAATCATCTGCCAGAGGGCAGTTACCACACCTGGTCGACTGCATAAACGTGAAACAGGGCACAAAGTAAGCTGAAATATTGGCCGTAGTCTTTAACTGGTGGCAAAATGTTAAAAAGGTCCAACTCTATAAGTACTATTTGCTGGCCACAAGTTGCTTATTATTTAGTTGGGCAAATAAGACATTAGTGTGAACCAATTAGATAATAACACATTATGTAATTTTTTTATGTGCAGCATAGACAGAAAATAAAAACAGGAGAATCTAGAAAAGGGGAAGACCTATATGACTAGAAATCAGGACAAATGGTTTCCTAAATGAGATGGGGCTTAAAAGGGAAAACAGATTATCTGCTATTTTGGATCATTCACTGCTCTCCACATCAACAGGGAAAACCTAAAGCTAACTACACATGAAAAATAAAAAATAGCAAGCTTCTTGCCCTTTTTAGATTGGTGAGAAGGCAAATAGTCTGCCGTGTATGAAACCCTGGATTAACAAACATAGTACTAGGAGGTTAAATGTTCTGATGGTTACCTATAGCTATGACCATTATAATACAAAAACTATTAAATAAAAAGATCCCCAAACAGAGCAACTAGCCAAGAATGTACTTTTCTTGGCAATAAAAGTTGCAAAGCTGGTTTGTTAAATAAGGAACACAAACAGAATATACAGAATAAAAAAATCTAATTTTCTCTTACTGGCTAGTATCTATCACAGAAATACAATGTGGTTAAAAAAAAAGTTTCAAGGTAGCCATCTTTCTCTGTAATACAATGCAATAAGTAAGTAATGAACGTTTGATTCAATTATCAAGAATTCAGATAATTTATCAGAAGTATCTATAAAATATCACTGGAGTACCTGACTGAATAAAAAGTTCCAAGAACCCCAGGATCTTTTGAATGGTATGTGATATGAAGGGAGATGGATAAATTCTACATAATTATAATTATCTGAGTAAGTAATATTCTGAACAAAATTCTAAGACAGTTCCTAAACACAACAGTGATAAGGAGTTAGACTGGGCTCTAACCATGTGACTGGCTCTTCTTTCTTCCCATTTTCTACACCTACCCGAGAACTAAAATTTATTGGGTAAGGAAGAAATCTCACTTTTCTTCTTGGGATTCTTGTGCAGAATTTTCACTTGTGCTCAGCCTTTAACGATGTGGATGATTCCTTGCCCAGGGACATGTAGGTGACTTCTCTTTCCCTGTTGCAAGGATAAAGAGAAAAGATCTAGAATTAAGATGTGTACTCTGTGGGGTTTTTTTAAAGATAGTTTTCATTTTAAACCTTCATTTAATATACAGAGCAGAAACTATTACCTTTTGCTGGCTGATTCTTGAAATTGGTCTGGATTTTCTACAATAAAATTCCAATTTTTTTAAAAAAAATCAAAGTGAAATAGTGTAACTTGAATCCATTACCTGGGGAATTACAAGTAGGTATAGTCATATAATTACTAAAAACTTGCACAATTACTTGATCATTAATATTGTTTTAACTGATTTTTCAGTGGACTGATTTCATCTGAATACCCTTTATCAATCTCATCTAGAAAACAGAAGGCTGAGCAGCACTTGAATTACAAACTACTTGGTTCCACTGATCTGGTCTGAATATAGGCAGAGACAAAAGTTCAGGATCCTTAAGCTTTAAATTCTCAACCAAGATTTCTACTTCTCAACCTCTGCTCTACTTGTGATTCCTAACAATAAACTTGAAATGTATGCCTTTTCTTCTACACATAAGCACAATCCAATGAACCCTCAGCTACTTAAAGGACAGACTTCCAAACCCATTTACCTTGGGCAAATCCCTTTCCCCTCTGGGCCTCAGTCTTCTCATTTATAAAAAGAAGGGTTTGGACTAGACAATCTCAAAGTGCCCCTTCCAGAACTATAATTCTAAGTATGGGAAGAAAGGTGCTAGACTTCTGGGAAATGCAAAGAGCTGAAGAGTCAGAAAAGATACTTGATATAGTATGACTGGTCAGTTTTCTGCAGAGAGGTAAAGAATCACCTCTGATGATAGAGATATCCTTTTCGTTTCCAAAAAATAAAAGCGAGAAATGAAAGGAAACAAAAGTGGTGAAAAGCTGAGAGGAGGAGAGTGGAAGGCAGGAGAAAGGAGAATATGTAGAAATCAAAAGTCTGGAGTGTAGTATTAAGTAGCAATACAGATGAAAACCAGTGATCACAAAGAAGCAAAGAACTGCTCTGTACTCTGATTGGAACAAAGCCCTTCCTACTTCAAAGTCCAAAGAGCAGAGCTCCTGAAGCATTAAG